CGGCCGCCTCGCGCCCTTCAAAGCCCGGGGCCGGAGAAGCCGGGAGGCCGGCGCTCGGGCGCGCCGCTAGCCGGACGGAGGGTCTTCGTGGTGCTCGTGGAAAGTTTACTTTTCCCGTCTCCGGGGCGAGAAGCAAAGGCAGCTAGAAGGTGTGTGGCGGGCTTCTGGGATGTTTCCGTGGGAAAAGATTCCCGGAAGGTGTCGTGTTTGATTAGGATGTCGGGGTTGAACCAGAAGCTGGGGCGACAGTGCCGCAGAAGGAACGGTCCAAAGAACGCCTTGGGTACAACTTTGTGCTCAACGCGTGGACCAGTCTCTGACTCATTTGAAGCACTTTGGATCTCTGAAAAACGAGAAAAGAAAAGCTCTGAAACTCATTCCTATTCTACAAGGGAATGTTTCTGAAACGAAATCTCTAAATCTATTCAAGAAATTGTACCATTCACAGGTCTCCTTGAATGTCTTGAATACTGTGAAATGTCTCCTTTTGCCTTATTTTAAGGGTTTTTCCTGGATCTGCTTACCGTTTTATTTTTGTGCTTCTGAGTTTCTAATGTGGCAAATTCTGCCCTCTATGTTTCTCTTCCAGTTTTCCAAAAGCATTGCCCCAAAGTGACAGTCTGTGCTCTGGGTGACTTTGACCTGACTGAAGGCCCGTCGTGTGTTTAGAACAGCTAGTATTGTCCATCCGCTAATAGTTTATAGATCAGTAGCCACTCCTGCAGAGAAGTTGTAAATAACAGAACTCTGAACAACAAAAAATAGCACTGAAAAGAAACAACGGAATACATCAGCACGTCAAATAAACTCCTCTTGCTAATGTTGTTCAGTACATCCAGTTTCATGGTTATTGTCAGTGTGGTCTGCTGCATCCTCCAAACGCTGACCTTCAGAGTCTTATTAATTCTGTTAATGGCTTGTCCGGATTGACTAGGTGTGCTCTATAAAGGCGACGTCCTTCTTAGTCTAAGGGAAATAGTACAGCCTACCAAATAGAACTCTGGGATTTGAATGGTTTGTTTCCATTTCGTCTAATTATTAAAGCATGAAGGCCCATGGAAAAGGGCACAGTCTCCTTGGAACATTATATTTGAAATTGATGCAGAGAGAAGTGGAATGTGTCAGTATAGCAAACAGATGGAAACCCCCAGGTCCTCCTGGGAAGTGAAGCTCTTTCTATGGGGATGGAGAGGAAGGAAGAGAGAGAGAGAGAGGGAGAGAGAGAGAGAGAGACAGAGAGAGACAGAGAGAGACAGAGACAGAGATGGGCCAGGGGGGAGGAGTGGAGGGAATAGGCATAGAATATCATGCCATAGCAACCTATCATGAATAGGTCGTTATCTTCAGCAAGGGAAAGCCTAGAAAGTACACTTTAAATTCCTGACATCAGTTATTAGTGAAGTTGTTCGTTAAGGTCATGTTTGTTTTGCCAAAGGACTCTGTGGCTCCAGTGTACTTGGTGTGACTGGACGCAACCAGGGATGAGGAACGCTGTGTGCAGAGAGTGCTCCTCATGGGGAAGGAAGCAAAGCAACCGCCGCGTCCTGTCTGCAGTCTTGGGGCGCGCAGGGGCTGGGGCTGCTGGAGTAGCTGAGACACCTCCCAGTTCAGCATGAGGAAGGCTGAGAGAGGAGAGAGCGCCTGGGGTGCTCAGTCGCGGGGGACAAGGCGGTGTGGCCTGCGGAGGTTACTTGTTGGGGTGTCTGGTGAAAGGAGGCAGGAGGGGTATCAGGGATGATGTCAAACTGTGAACACATACGGAAGAGTTGGGATTTCTTCGGTAGGTCAGTGTTATGATCCTGTGAGAGTCCAGAGCCTTCCAATGGAAAGTGAGTTAACGGAAGTATGCAGTCACCAGACCATTCAAAACCAAATTCATTCAGAAGCTTAAGGGAAGGACGTGCAGAGACTTGGTTGTACCAATGATAGAAGCTGCTGGGGGCTTCTCAGAGATTAGCAAGAGAAGAAGGTCTTACTGTCTCTCGCTGGAGGGATGGGGAGAGGAAGCAGTGTGACTTGGGCCCAGGGACCAGGAGGTGGAGTCACTGCAGGCTGGCCTGTGGGGACCCAAGGAGGCGCCCTTCCTCCTGCCCCTGGAATGTTTCCCAAGCAGAATCCTAAGGTCCTGGGAGCCTGCAGATGTCCCTGTGAGACTCAGTCCTCCTGTGTCACCCAACAAAACAGCAGGGAAAGGTGGGGAAAAGAGTGGGGGACACAGGGGTCCAGCCAGGCGTGGTCTGTGGGCCGAATAACCATGATTCACCAAGCAACAGCAGCAGATGCTGTGATTAACAGCAGATTCATCACAAGAGGGTCTGAATTCATGACAGCAGCCTTTGGTGATTATAATATATTCGCCAGGTATTAGCACTAGGATGATGGGTCTGAATGTTTTCACAAATTTAAAGAAGGAATCTTACGGCAGAAACATACATTATTTTAAACAGTCTGGATACATGAGAGAAAATAACACGGTCAGGTCAGAAAGACACTTACGTCAGAGCAAACTGTGTCCCGTAAAATGGAAGGGCCTTAGAGCGGAGGGAACATACTGCGGTCCTTCCACACGGCGCAAGTCCCAGTTTGCGGCGCGGGTGGGTAAATGCCTGCTTGTGCTCACTGTGGTGAACTGGTGCCGAGCTTTAGCTGCGTATCTGTGAAGTGAGTGAATGCGGTGAGCAATGGATGAAAGCAAAAGAGGAAGGGAAATACACGATAGGACTGGTGGAGTAATTGTGCTAAAACGTTGAGCGGAGCAGAACCAGCGTGGTAGAAACAAGTGGGAAGAGAAAGGTGCCTATGCAGGATACCAGTCTGAAGTTTCTCTCAGACTTGGGGACTGAAAGAGATGAGACTGTTTCGACTGGTTCCTATGTTTTCAACTTTAGGTGTTTAATCAATAAGAATAATGTTGACTGCAGTAGGTCACATGGGAAGGGAAAAACCAGGGATGGGATGGGAGGGAAGTGAGAAAGTTAGGTGCCCAAAATTTTATACCCAGCGTCTGGGGAAGATGGAGTTGAGACTTGGTGTAGTTTTCATGTATAATAGGATTCTGCTGTATGTTATATGAGCAGCTTATTCCAAATAACTCGAATGAACAATTGTTCTAGGCAGGCTAGTTATTTTTAATGCCAGCTGATAGGGTAAAAAGAGTGACTGAAACAAAATCTGCTCAGATGGCCATATTTTATACTGTCAAAGTTAGGGATCGGACACAGCTTTTAAGACTTTTTTTCCTACATAATTTGTTGCTATATATTTATAAATTAAATAAAATAATTAAGATAGTAAAGAAACTTTCCTTTCTTTAAAAGTAGTTTGATGAATTTAAAGCAGTTTTAAAATTGGTGAAGTTATAGTATTCATATCTTTAAAAAATGGATGGGATCTATTTGATAGCTCTCACACTGGAATGTTTTCTCTCCTGTTGGGAAAAAACCATTTTACCATCTTTATGCACTTTTGTAAAGATTAGGTTCAATTCACCCATATTTGTGAATAGACCTTTAAAAACTTACTTTATCAAACTGTTATACTGTATGCAATTTTATAGACCAGAGGCCAGCTGTACTGAGCCACCACTGTTATATCAGTCCCCTTGGGACATTTCTTTTCCTCACCCTGTGCCTTGCTTATCACATACTTGTTCTTTTTATTTTTAAATTGTAGATTCTTGTGCTGGGTGTGGTCCAAGTGGAACTGTATCGGAAATGGGCCCAATAGGTACAGAGGCTGATGAGAACCAGACTGTGGAAGAAATGAAGGTGGAACCCTACGGGCTGGAGCACACCACCCCCAGGGGGGAGCTGGCCCCTGACCCGGAGCCGGAGCTGATCGACAGCACCAAGCTGACAGAAGTGCGGGTCGTCCTCATCCTGGCCTACTGCTCCATCATCTTGCTGGGTGTGGTTGGAAACTCCTTGGTCATCCACGTGGTGATCAAATTCAAGAGCATGCGCACGGTTACCAACTTCTTCATCGCCAACCTGGCTGTGGCGGATCTTCTGGTCAACACCCTGTGCCTACCGTTCACTCTCACCTACACCTTAATGGGAGAGTGGAAGATGGGTCCCGTCCTCTGCCACCTGGTGCCCTATGCCCAGGGCCTGGCGGTGCAGGTGTCCACGGTCACCTTGACAGTAATTGCTCTGGACCGGCATCGGTGCATCGTCTACCACCTGGACAGCAAGATCTCCAAGCAAAACAGCTTCCTGATTATCGGCTTGGCCTGGGGCGTCAGCGCCCTGCTGGCGAGTCCCCTGGCCATCTTCCGGGAATACTCACTGATTGAGATTATTCCGGACTTCGAGATTGTGGCTTGCACCGAGAAGTGGCCAGGTGAGGAGAAGAGCGTCTACGGCACCATCTATAGCCTTTCCTCCTTGTTGATCCTGTACGTTTTGCCCCTGGGCATCATATCTGTTTCCTATATCCGGATCTGGAGTAAACTGAAGAACCATGTCAGCCCTGGAGCTGCGAGTGACCACTACCACCAGCGAAGGCAGAAAACCACCAAGATGCTGGTGTTCGTGGTGGTGGTGTTTGCAGTCAGCTGGCTGCCCCTGCACGCCTTCCAGCTCGCGGTGGACATCGACAGCCAGGTACTAGACCTGAAGGAGTACAAGCTCATCTTCACAGTGTTCCACATCACCGCCATGTGCTCCACCTTCGCCAACCCCCTGCTGTACGGCTGGATGAACAGCAACTACCGCAAGGCCTTCCTCTCGGCCTTCCGCTGCGAGCAGGGGCTGGATGCCATTCACTCGGAGGTGTCTGCGACGTTCAAGGCGAAAAAGAATGTGGACGTGGTAAAGACCAGTGGGCCCACTGACTCCTTCTCCGAGGCCACCAATGTCTAAGGACATGGCGTGGGAAGCTAAGGGTCAGTTCTGACCAGAACCCTTGGTCTGGTTGAGGAGGGTGCAGAGGTGTGAGCTGATCTCATTGTAAAGACGGAAGGCATCTAAACGGAAGCTCAGGCACTGGCACTCCTGGAAAACTGGCTGGCAGAGTCTAGGGAGAATATTTGTGTTCACAGAGAAGGTGACAAAACGGCTTAATGATAGTGGCTTGCATTAGGTTGAGTTATGTGTAAAAGCAGAGAGAAATACGTCTGACTTTTCCCAGTGTGAGGGAAAGCTGAAGGAGGAGCTGATGTTGTCAGCACTGCTGGCAGTTGGGATTTGATATGCAGACTCCGGGCGCTCGCTGGGACCTGAACGGGGGTTACAGCGTGACTCCTCTCTCCTCTGATGTGAGTGAAGCCTGTTGAACGCAAACCTCACTAGCGAGCCGCTGGCTCTGCTGGGTGATAGTTCATTTTCCTGTTCTTCCTACAGAGGGAATTCTGAAAGGAACGCTCTCGGTGAACGCTGCTACTTTAATGGCATCAAGGGAGTAAACAAAATTGACAGATGGTTAACACTTTGGCAAATCATGGGGGGAATTCTTAATAATCAGTGAGTGTTCTTAAAGTCAAATGCATTTGGTGAGAATGTTTTTTAAACTCAGACTCGAAAGCAGAAAGTCTCAGAATTACAAAAAATGTAAACAGTTCTTGAATTTCTTATTTTAAATTGTCCTTGCTTTATATGAATACTATTTATATAATAAATAGGTAAGCAACATTGCAAATTGTCGCAAATTTAAAAATCCGTATGATTTCTGTTATTATTCTTGTGCTGGAGTAGAGTTTGAGCTCAAAATTAAATCAGATTAGAAAGCAATTTTCATGGAATTTTGTAACATTTTGTGGTTATTTGTGTGCAGTTTTTCACACAGATGCACAGCTCTGACAGCTTTATGGTGTTCTGCTGTGTTATTGTCTTTAGAATTCATTTTCCCAGGACCTTTTCCTGATAAATAAAAATATGATTTCATAAAATGGCCCCATCTGGTAAGAAATATTCAAAGCACTAGATTTACTCTATTTTCCAAATGCTCTGTTTCAAGCCATTTCATGTAAGTTAACTCTTTTGAAAGTAATTATATTTTTTGGATGTGAATGTGAATATATACCTGTATACCTACAAATAGTGGAACGTAAGTACTGCAGTATTTTTTATTTAATGATTTTATGAGTATAATTTTTATTTTAATAGGACCCAACCAAAGATGCTTAAAACTCTATTGTGTTTGTGAAAAATAAATGAGATGTTAAAACAGTTGCATTATGTTAGACGCTGTTAAAGAAGTTTTGTTGTAGTTATACTTTTGTAAATATGATAGAATTTGCAAATATATTCCTCACATTTTAGTTAAATTCAACATGACTTTCGTACTTAATTACCACATGAATTTCATGAGTTGGAGAGCTTCATTGTATGGATGGGTGCATTTAATATTTATAGTATAGCTTTTAATAAATTCCTTTCATATTCAAAATAAACGATTGGTCTTGAACTGCAGTTTTGAGATATTGAAAAAGAATGCAACAATAAGATATAGAATTAGTGAAAGAGATTAAAAAATCAATAAAAATGTATATCTGTAATATATTGAAGAATTCGTTTTGTTGTTGGAATCAGCATAAGAAGATTTTGTCTTTAACATAGCAGTTACTTTCCTTCAGATGTTAGAAAATTGTAGTTAAAGACTTTATCCCCCTTGCAGAAGTCTTACACTGTGGGAAATGTGTACACTACTGTGTCATCGGCTGTGATGTATGGGATGGAAGTGAAGTGTGCAATCCGGGTAATGATCCTATTAGCATATGTCTGATCCAATTAACCCTGTCAACCCACTAAAAATAACTTTCTATGTTGTGCTTTTAATGTTGAAATAAAGAGAATTCAGAAAATTCGAGGAACTGTGTGAATTTTAGTTGAGTTCTTCTTCCTGCTTGTACCTGAATCCGAGTAAAAGGACCTACTTTAGGACTGTTCCAACTGGACATTTCTTTAGAATTTCAAGTTTTGTGTCACTGTTAGCTGATAGAACTGTTCACTTGGGTCTCACCAGCGGATCAGATCTAACACTCTCAAGTAGGACCTGTTGTTTAGTGCATACCCCCTACCTCCACTCTGAGTCATGATTCTCATATCTACCAGGTCCCAGGACATGCTGGCTCTTGTGTATTTCCCCTACTTACCCAATTAATTCTTCCATTTCATTCTAATTCCCAGATATTTCATGAGTCAATGCATTATTTTCTGTCTCGATCATCCAGGTAGGATTGTCTCACAGATCCACATTATCTCTAGCATGGATTAATATAGTATGTTCCCATCATCTCAGTTGGTCTTTCTGTATCTTGATATCTCCTAAAGCATTCCAACTTTTACCCAGTAGCCAGAGTGATTTTTTTAAAAATTCAGATTTGACCAAGCCGTTCTTCCAGTTTAAACTCATCCTTTCCTCATAATTCTTACAAGAAGATCAAAATGTTTTTACAACTTGGAAAGCTGGTTAGCTTGGGACTGTACCTATATATTTTATCCCATACACATTCACTTCTTGCTGACAGACTTTAGGCATCATCAGGGTAGGGGACAGAAGCCATTGTAACCATTGTGGAGTCACAGGTGCTTGCCATCCATGTCACCAAATTAATTCTCAATAAGTAGCTGTGAAGGAAACTGAGACCACACCTGTCCCATTTTATTAAGACTTTTCTAGGGAAATAGATTTTAACTATAAAAAAATCCATAAGAAGCTTATTCAAGATCATCATTTTTTAAAGGTCACTAAAAGTAGATATTTGCACCTATAGAAAGTGCTGAAAGTATGGATTTCATGTGTGGTTCAGTCACAATTACCAGTGACTTTGTCACTAGGGGGGAAGCCATTAGTTATGGCTCAGAGTGCCAGAGAAGTCAACGTAAATATCTTTAAAGAATGCCACTGAGGAGGGAGAGAGAGGACTCAAGGGGCATACTTAGCCAAAATCCATAAGCTACAATAATCTACAGTCACGTCTGGATCCCAGCAGACCTGACCACGTGGGGCGGGGCACAGGGAGATGTAAGGGAGCAGAAAATACAATCCGTGTTCATGGAAGTAGTAAGAGGGAGTGGGCGCTGAGTAGCCGCTTCTGCCGATTTTTCTAGGAAACATAATTTATGGGAAAAAACCTTCCTGTTTACAGGGACAACCCCATGTTAACAGTTGCTTCAGTAGTTTTTGGCAAAGGTAGCTCAAACCTCATAAATTGATAGATAAGCAACTTCTGATCTCAAAAGCTGCACAGAGTTATACCAATCTGGTTGATATCCAAGGTAAGGATTTTATATTTACCTTCTGGTATTTAGTTTAAAAGTCTAAAAATAGATGTAGTGAATCCTTGCCTTTGAGGGCCCTTGTGAATAATATTTATAATTGTATTATTAAAATATATGTAAAATAGATAATTAGAGTCATAAATATTAGGCTTATGTTTTGAAGGAAGGGCCCCAATAGTTATTTCTTAGTAGATATAATCAGGGAATTGCCTTGGAATTTTGGAAATATCATTTTTTAATGGGGTGATATTTTTATATCAAACTTATTTAAATGTAAACCTGAGTTTTGTAAACTGTTCTAGTCATTTATACTAATATGGTTACCATCCGCCACAGTTTGAGTGTATCTCCTCCAAAATTCAGGTTGAAATTTAATGGACAATGTGATAGTGTTTAAGGGTGGGGCCTTAAAGGCCGAGTAGGTAATGAGTGCTTCTCCTCTCGGGAATGAGACCAAGGCCCTGTAAAACAGGCTTCACGGAGCACTCAGCATTTGGATCTTTTGCTTTTCCATATCCACCATAGGAGGACGTAATGCTCTCTCCGGAGGAGGTAACCCTAAGGGGCCATCTTGGAATCAGAGAACAGCCCCCAGTAGGCAACTGGACCTGCCGGCATCTTAATCTTGGACATTGCATCCTCCAGAACTATGCCAAATTCCTCTCCCTCCCTCCCTCACTCTCTTCCTCTCTCCTTCTCTCTCCTTCTTTCTCCTCTTCTCTCTCTCTCTCATATAACCTAGTTCTAGGTATTTTGATACAGCAGCACAAATGTAAGATTCTCACTAAATACTCTTTGACCACCATAAATGTGTCTTAAGGAGAGCTATGTGACTGCTTTCTCACGGAAAACTCTTGGTTTAGAATAAATGATCATCCTAACGCAAGGCACCCCAGGGGATGAATCTGCACCAGGGGAGGTTTAAAGCTGAGGCTGAACGGTCCCAGGCACAGCCAAACTGAAGGGCGCAGAGTCCTAAAGAGGACCTAAGATTAAGTGTCAGGGTCTGGACAGGAAGTGGCTCATATCAGTGTAGATATTTAATCCTAAGTAAAATTTTCTTGACCAAAATAGAAAATTTTCTGATGTGGATTGTGTATAGTTAGGACACCAATGCTCAACCTTTTTAGTTTAAATAACCTCCAAATTCTCATACTTTTCCAGAAAAAAACAAACATTTAAATTTAACTATTGATTTTTGGAACTAGGAGTTCTTTCTTTCAACAAATAATTTATTGAGCCTTATATATATAGGAAACTCCTGTGAAAACTGGCTCTTGTTTTTCACTAGTTAGGGATAAAGTGTGTGTGTGAGAGAGTCCTTTAAAGAAAGTACTTTTATTCTCTGTGGGAAGAGAGCGATAGAGGAAGAAGAAAGGGTAAAGGGAAGATGGCAGAGGAAAACCCCCAGTATTTTCCAGTTTGCTTAGATTAGTTTGGTCACGTGGGCAGCTACTCACTGGAAGATTCCCTGTTTCTGCAGCATTGCTGAAAGAGACAGCTGTATGACTCAGAATCAACCTCCCCATTTTATCTTTTAATTAAAATAAAATTATGGCTAAGTGCATAGATGTGGGCACACAGTTCTTTGAGTTTTCACAAGTGTGTAACATATATGACCGCTGCCCTCCACCATGATAGGCGCTATTCTCATAGCCTCATGGAATTCCCACCTGTCTACTTCCGGTTGACCTCCGTGTATCCCAGCAGTAGCCATTGTTCCGATGTTTTATCTTCTGTTGACTTTGTAAAAAAGGAATTGTAGGCCATCATTTTTGTCTCTGGTATTTTTTACATAATATAATTATTTAGAGATTCACCCATGTTGTTGTGTGTATTGTTAATTGGTGTTTTAAATTTCTGGGTCATGTTTAATTGGGAATACTACAATTTATCCTTTTTTTTGGTAGATCTTTGAGTTATTCCAAGTTTTCACTATTATGATTAAATTGATTATAAACATTCTTTCTCAGACCCTTTTGTGCACAGATGTTTTCTTGAGATTTAGGAACATCCAAGGTAATCAAGTTACCAGGTCATTGAATAAATATGAGATCCAGTAGCCTTACACTCTTGCAATATTTGGTGGTGTTCATGTATTAAAATTTTTCCATTGTGGTGCAAATCTCATTTGATTTACATATCTCTGATGACTAATGATGCTGACAACCTTTTGACATGCTTATTCATCACTTACATGTTTTTAGGAAGAAATTATTCACTTTCATTGGGTTTGACTGTGTGTTTTTGATAAGTTTTAAAAATTCTTTGTATATACTCAAAATAGTCTGACTATTCCCTCCCAGAAATTTGCATTACATATGGTTTTCCCCAGGTAGAACCAAAAGATTTTAACTTTGATCAAGTTCAGTCTATCCTTTTTTCTTTTAATATTAATATTTTTTGTGTTCCCATGCATCTTTGCCTACTGTAAGGCTGGAAAGATAAATCCATGCTTTTATCAGAAGCTTTATAATTTTAGCTTTCAAATTTACATCTGTGTTTTATCTCAGTTAATATTTCTATTTATTTTTTCCTATTTTAATGCAATTCTTGCATTAGTCATTAAAAAGACATTATTTTTCCTCACATTAAGTTGCCCAGCACTTTTGTTAAAAAATCATTTGACTATATATGAAACGACTTTTTTTTTTTTTTGGTTTTTCTCCAGTACCGGGAACCGAACTCACGACCTTGCGCTTGCCAGGCAGGCGCTTTGCCGCTGAGCTAAATCCCCAGCCCTCATTTGACTATATATGTTTACAGTGTTTTCTAGACCGTTGTGTCCACTCAACTTTTCATGTTAACACCATGATCTGCTCACTACACATGGTAACATTTACATGTTGTGTTTGCCTAATTTTTTTTTTTTTGCAGTATCATTCTGGCTATTTTCAGGCCTTTGTGTTTTTGTATAAATTTTGATCCAGATTGTCATGTTTTGTAGAAAAGCACTAGCATTATGAGTGAGATGAGATTGACTCTGATGTTCAATTTATGGAGAATAGATAAGCTAAAAGTATTGTCTTCTAATAGATGAAGATGATATATCTATCTCTTTATAGTTATTATTTAATTTCCCAATAATATTTATACTTTTTAAGTGCAACTGTCTAATATATATTTTGTTAAATGTATTAAATATTTTATGCTATACAAATTAGAATTGTTTTGTGATATCATATGCTAACTAGATATTGCTAGTACACAATTCGTTTATTTTTTTACCTTGAAAGCTTTGATTACTTATTCTAGCAAAGTTTATGATGTTTTCTATGTGAGCAGTTATGTTCTTTGTTAATAAGGGTAGTTTTATCCTTCCTGCCAAACCTTGATGCTGTATACTTGGTTTTGTTAGTTTACTGTACTGGCAGTTACTTTTACTAAAATGATGACTAAAAATGAGGCTGTATCTAGCTTTGGTTTTTCCAGACCTGTGGGGATGTGAGTTGAATATGTTTACTCTTTCAGCATTAAATATGATACCTGTGGGGGATACTTTAGAGATGCTTTTCATTAGATAAGGAGAGCTACTTTTTGCTTTTAAGTTGTTGAGTTTTATTTTAGACACATAAATGGATT